GTGTAGTCAGTTAAGCACTGGACTGCTAACCCTAAGGTCGATGGTTCTAATCCACCAGTCCTTCCACAGAAGGATGAAGCTTTTTGTTCCTCTGAAGCAATGGTTCTCAACCTGTGGGTCATGACCCCTCTGGAGGTCAAATGACCCTTTCACAGGGATTGCACAATTCATAACAGTAGCAAAATGACAGTTATTAATTAGCCAAGAAAATAACTTTATGGTTGGGGGGGTCACCACAACACGAGGAACCGTAAAAGGGTCATGGCATTAGGAAGGTTGAGAACCCCTGCCCTCAACTCGTGTGTACATATACTTCTTCAATAAAAATGCCTCCACGTTGTCTTAGAAATTGGTCTAAAATAGTGTTTGAGCTGCAAATTAATAATTGGCTCAAATTTTAAAAAACATTTTTAATTCACTTAGAATATAACTAAAGCAATTTAAACTTTGGGTTTGTTTTTTTTTTTAAAGAGCCATAGCTACCTTCTTTATTTACATATCAATAAATTATCATTATATCAACATTAACTTTCCTTATGCTTTACTATCCAAAACTTTCAGTACTCTAACAAAATTAAGTTCTGTTTAATTCATCTTGGAAATACGTTTATGTGTCTGTGTAGATGAGAACATGGGGGCGCTTTTCCCACTATTGGTATTTGTGATTCCGTGGTTAGATGCTAAATAAACTTTATGCTCAGTAGCACTCTGAACTGCAGCCATGGCCTCAGGTTCTCATTTGAAAGTCCAAGAAAATTTAAAATATGAAACACTTTATCATATCATTCTCAAAATCAAAGGTTTTGGGCCCAAGCAAAGTTGATAGTGGATTACAATAAAAATATCTCGAATGTAAATATTAATACCCTTCAAATTCTCCAAGAACAGCATGGCTAAACTTAGCTGGCTGGGCACAGTGGCAATAAGGTTACAACGGAAAGTATGAACTGATCTTTCCAAGTTGACTTGGTGCTATCAAAGGCCCCCCTGCGTGTCACTTACAGGAAGCACGCTCTATGTATGGGCGGAAGCTATGCAAGCTCAGATAGCACCACACAGGCCACCTCTCTTCCCTCTTCACTACTGCCCGGACACCATCCGTCCAGGTACAGCTAACAAGCTGCCAAGCTTAAGTAGATGTGGCTCCTTCCATGATAGAGATCCACTGGTCTGCCAGCAAATCCAGCTGTTTGTTCCCCAAGGCAGGCCAATGCGAAGGTTCCTGGTAAATCCTCTTTCCAAAATGTAAGAGTCAGCCTAAAAGCAACCTTCTCAGGTGAACCTAGGTTTGGTGTTTTATTTTAAAATTCTTGTTTCTAGAAATTGCTCTGCTCTACACTGTAACTTCTATGTGTCAAGAGAGACCCAGGACCAGAGGATGGCATTTTCAGGAATTGCCACCAATGAATGGAATGTACTTCCTGCTCTAGCCTGAAGTTAACAAGCCACATATGTGCTCAAATACTTATGCCATTACACACACCCACTTGTGCATACATGTCTCTATATGCATATATGTATGTATACACACACACACACGTTCCTTTTTGTTCAAAATGTATAAAGTTTCAGCAGTATGACTTAATCCAAGTATATTTTTCTACAGTCTCCTCTAAGATTTAGTTGTCAACAACTAAGTATTTCTCCAAAAGGCAGGCAGTCCCAAAGCAACCACAATACTGGATGCTGCTGGCATTCAAACAGGTGAGCGGAAGTTGTGCCCCCAAACCAGATCACACCCAGCTTCATGTCACCACCCTGTCGGGGATGTGGTGCCGTGCCAGGGCGGCAGGGCACCGATGGCCTTTTGCTTGACCTGTGCGATAAGGGCCTGCCTTTTCTACGCCGACTTGTAGACACAGTTCTGCCGCCCTAGTGGTTTCACAGGCTTAATGTTCAACATCACGAATTCGTTCCACTTATTAAGGTCAGAAAAGGCTCCGGCAACTCTGGGATCTTGCCCCCGAGCAACGGCTTTATCAGCAGGCCCCAGTCACGGCTTCTCAGTAAAGAGCGTGGTGCTGGGATAAACCGCAATGCACCTCATTTCCAAACGGACGCCTCCTGCGTTTGCTTCATCCATAAAGGGACCCTGCCGCAAACTCACAGCACTTCCTTCTCAAAATCCCCTCTCCCGCACCCTCCGTGATGGGCATCGAAGGAATAAGCAGGAAAAATTAAATTGCAAACTGAAATATTTATTCAAGAATTCAGTCTTGATTACTTTAGTTACTCTTCATGGGTGCTTAACTACCATGGCATCAGTATCTTTCCAATGCCTGGGTCTGAACAGCAAACGTTTTCCAGATGTTTTTCCACTTTGGGAAAAGAATGGGGCTCAAATGATTGTTTTCCTTTTAATCAGAATTCTTTAATCCCACACTAAATAAATTTAATTTCTTTTTACCAGAACAAAGAATTATATTCGTATGGAAGCAAAGAGAGCACTTCAGAAAAAATGTTCACTATCCCTGGAAGTGCCAGAATATCACGTAGATCGCAAGTGATCTCATTTGTTATAAACTGTGACAGCTAATAACCCTTCGTTGTTTGAGATCATGCCCGCATGGGTAAATGGAAAATACCTAGTCAACAGTATTATTCCATTTCCATTTTTAAAATAGCAGTCTGACAAAACAAAACAAAACACAAAAGCTAGAGCCCAACGGCCTCCAAGGACACACACATTCTGCATCCAAGAGGGCAGAATTCTGTCTGCTTTGATGAGCAGCTTCCTCAGCCAAAAGAAAGGGAAGCTCACAGAGACAACTAGCAAGGTAGAGCAGGCTGGCATTAACTGCTGAGCACTGGTGGGCGGAGCGTCTCCTGGTGATCCCACCCCATCCCATCCAAGGCCCTGCTTTAGGAAACCATTGATTCACAGCAACTCTGCCAGATGGGGCAGGAAGGCCCCGGCACGCTGCTTTTCAGTTAGCAGCTGAGTCCTCAACCTCTTAGCTGGGAGAGGACACTGCACTGACGAGTTTCATACCGGCGTCTTCCACCCAACATTATGGACGAGTTTCATACCGGCGTCTTCCACCCAACATTATGTTCTCTGGTGCCCTCGGTCTTGTAGTCAAGTCTTTCCACCTCCACAAGCAATGTCCCTCCACCCCATTCTCTCACCTTGCCATGGTCACACCCCAAAACCCAAACCCGCTGCCATCCAATTGATCTGGACTCAGCCACCCTAGAGCACAGAGCTGCCCGTAGATTTTCCCGGGCAGTAATCTGTACAGAAGCAGATGCTACTCTCTCTTTCTTCCTCCAGTCAGCATGGACTAACACGCTAGTCAAGAAACTTATACACTACTTCTAACAGCATGTCTATGAAGACCCAAGTTTCCAGTGACAAAACAGTCCACGTCCTCACAAACAGCAGATGCTGTCTGGGGAGGAAGGACATTTCAAAGGTGAGCTTTGGGCACAAAGTTGACTGGAAGCCATGCTGCGGTGTCCTGCACTCTAAAGAAGGCACGAGTTAAACTATAACTCCGAGATCCTACTCGGTAGGTGGCGACTTTCAGCACACCATTGGATTAATTGTTTCACAATGAAACTGCTTTCTAAGTAGCATAATGAAGTGCTATCCTGGCAATGAACTAAGTCAAAACATGGCTACTTGAAAGGTGAAAGGGAATACTGGCAAACTGAAAGCGCAAGATTGACCCTAAGTTGGAACAGGAGCACCGCCACCTAAGGAAAGACCTCATTCTCAACAGTGGGGGGGGGGGAACAACCCAGGAGCCATCAATAGAGCAGGGGATGAATAAATACAAGGGGCTGGGCTGCTAGCGGAAGGAGGCCTCGTCAACCCGAGACAGAAGGCTCCGACAAATGGCAACACGTGGATGAGCCCCTAAAATAGGATGCTAAGTCAGTCAAATGAGCCCTACACAGAAGATGAAATATGGTACGATGCCATTTTTATCAAGGATCTAGAGTAGCAATTTCATGGGGACAAAAGATTAGTGGTTACAGGGGCTGAGTGAGTGGGTGGGTGCGGGTAGGCAAACAGGAAAAGAGAGAGCAAAATTCTTTTCTTTCTGTTTTCAAAGGCAACTAATAAGAAGGATGGATTATCTAGCACACAGGTTCCCAAACTGATTTGGCCAACCACCCCCTTTTCAGACAAAAATTGACTCAGTAACCCCTGGAAATTCAGAGCTTGGCTCCTCTAGCTCATACAGGATAAAGTGTAGGCATCTGTTTTTGCAGCCCCCGCCCCTCAGCTTTGGATTGGTGTCACATGGGGTTGACTAGCCCTCATGGATTATTCCAGCAGCAAGTTTCAGGCCGCATGAAATAAAGGCATGAAAGACGAAAATAAAGTCAAGCATTTCTAAATAAATAGCAAGATGAAATGGAAGAAAATGGACTGAAGGAAAATCTTCGATGAAAGTGGTCGATACAGGCCCAGTCCTTTTATTGCTCTGTGCTTTCCTGTGCTTCCCAGACAGCGCCCGCTCGAGCTCTCTCACCCCTCCCTCCCTTCTTTCTCTCCCTCAAACACATCGAAGGTCTGTGGCAATGCTATGGTGCACTCTCAGCACCGTTTTCCGACTGCCTGGGCTCGCTTCATGTCTCTGACACGTTTTGGTGACTCCCTCACAACTTCAAACTTTTTCATATTGCCAAGGCACTTCCTAGACTGCAGCACAGTGTGAACTATCATTAATTTCTCCACTCACAGGGAAACTAAAAGTACTCCAGTCACCTGCTTTATTGTGATATTTGCTTTGTTGTAGTGGTCTGGAACTGAAGCTACAATATCTCCACAGTCTGCTTATACTGGATTTAGTCCATCATAGAAAGAACCATCTAAGTGCTACAGCTCTTTTAGAATTTGTCTAGCAGGTTTTCTGTTTTTTTCCGGAAAAACACACACACGCACACACACACACCAGTAAAACAGGTACATAACAATTAAAAAAAAAAAAGTCTATTCACTTCCACAAATTTAGAAATACAAACAGGGTGCGATCAGATCCACTCACCTCCCGAGTAGCCAGCTGGTCGCTGAGCTCCTCAGCCTTCTCGATATCGCAGGCCTCCACAGCCTGGTCGATGCGCTTCTCCAGACCCGACTAGAGGAGAAGAGACACTAGGAGTGAAAGGTGGGAAGGCAGGCAAACAACATCTGAGCTGACTGTCACAGGAGCAAGCCATATTCAGACCAAGGACCGATCACAAAAAACCCAGAAGGTTCCACCCCAGTCACTGACGAGCAGAGGAAGGCTCAGCCATTCACTGGCTGGCCTCTGGTCAGGGAACTTCTGGAACAAACACAGGGGGCCCCAACCCAGGTCCTTGAGACTAACTCAGAAGCCTCCACTCCCCCTCAAGAACATCAAGAAATGCCACCAAGCATTCAACATTATGGAGTGCCTTGCCTACTCTGTGTGGGGCCTGAGTTTAGGGGTTCCAGAAAGCTCACTTACTCCTCTGTCAACTCCATAACAGCATTGCTATCCTGGAAAAAGGACAAGGCCATCATTACATGGGTTTTGAGTTGTGTCCTGTCCTGCCGGCCTTCCTACCTGTTCCCATGGGAGAGGGGGTGGGAAATGGAAGAAGGCTGAAATCCTAACCCGGCTCAGCAAAAAAAAGCTCCGGGGAAAAAAATTCCATCTTCTAATTCCATTTTTCCAAAGAATTTCTGAATGTGCTTTCCTTGAAGCTGCCATCTGTTAGAGTAAAGAAGTCACACTGGAGCAGCACCAGCCCTGACCCTAGTCCCTTCTGAGGAGTGGTATAGAAAATGGAAGAAGAAACTTGGAGGCAGGACACGCGGGGGAAGCAGCATGTGAGGCTCTGTCGAGAAGCCTAGGAAGTACCCATGGCCACCAGAAGCGGAATGGCACGGGGGGTTCTTCCCCTGGCACTGACAGAGGGAGGGAGTGCGAGCATGCATAGCCTGCTGCCTTCTCGAGGCCCAGCTCCCAAACTAAGAGAAAAGACGCATCTGTTCTTAAAAACCACAGCAGGCCCAGGAAACTAACAGGGTCTCCAGAGCCTGCATTCTACACCACACTCTTCTCGGTCTCTTTTCTCTACTGCTCATTCAAGAAACCTTGTTCCTGCAGTCTGTGTTGATATAAAAAACAATCACAACATGGCGGGCCTAAAAAGATTGTGGAGACACAGCCCGTGAAGTCCTCAGAGAGGGCTGCTGCCCAGTGAGTTTCTCCTCATGCTCACCCCCGCCCCTGGGCAGATCCAGAGGCCTCTTTCCACCGAGCCCTCGGGAGCTTGAGACCTTCGTTCACTCAGCCCTCAGAATCCTGGACCTGAGGCTTCCCAGGCCTCAGTCCACTGCCCCTTTTCTACTCCTGTCCTCAGATCTCTCCCCCGCAGACTGCAGCCCAGCATCGAGCTTTTCCAATCACACTCTAAGGCAGTGGTTCTCACGCTGAGAACATGTTAGATATACAAATTCTCCGAGTGGGGAGCAGCAGCGACCCAGAGGACTCTGGCGCATGGGCACCACCGACCTAAGTCATGAGACAAAGGTATGGCTATTTCCTTCCACAGAGACCTACAGCCTCGGAAGCCCACAGGGGCAGTTCTACTCTGTTCCACAGGGTCACTTCTGAGTTGGGATCAACTTGAAGCAAGGACCTCAGTAATACCTCAAACTTTTCCCAACATCGTTACTGCCATCCCAACCCCATCAACATGCAAGTGTCCCAGCAATATCTGAGAAAACCCAAGTACTCAATGCACTTGCTTCATGCAACACTGTCTGTCAAACTCAATTCTGCCCTCAAAGTTCTCCCATTTCCTAAGAAGTTCTTATATAAAGGGCTTCTAAAAGTCTGTGGAAGAATGGAATGTAAAAGAATGTTTCCACTTTTGAGGCCGGCTCATATGTCTCTTCCACTTTTCCAAACCCTTTCAAGCCCATCGCTTTCCCTCTCAGCAATGGCAACTCAACCTCCTAATCGAGTGGAGACCAAGGGGGTAAGAGTTAAGGGGAAGGAAACCAGAGACATGTATGAGGGGGCTTCAAAAGGCTCCTGGAAAAAACCCATTATCTTTTCATCCCATTTCTCCACGAACTTTTTGAAGGCTCCTCAAGTATCCTTTCTGCAATCTTCCATTGACTCACCTCAGAAAACATCTGCACTTGCCCCGCTTCTCCATGCTATTCCCAAGAATCATCTCCCTTCCCCAAACGAGTCAGCCACCTATGCTCATAATCCTGTCCGCTGACATGCCCCAGGGGCCCTCTTATCTTCATGTCCGCCACACAAAACAGGACCACCCCTTCCCTCACACTGCTTTTGTCCTATGCTGCTGTCATCTCTCCTCTGTAGCACGTCTTCTTCTACTCAACACCCTGTCCCTCTTGGCCTCGTTCTTCTTCTGAAACTGTCTCCAGTCATTATGCCACACATCATCTGTTTGTCTCCTTGGTCATCTATTCTGTCCACTAAAGTCATCCTCCTTCAAGCTAGCCCTTCAAAGAGCCATCTTAAATCTCCTCTAACACTCTCTATTCTTGCTGCCCCTTACTGGCAGTATCTTCAAGGCCCTGTGAGCTCAGCCCAGCTTACATAAGTTGGTTTGCATCTCTGAATTATCCGAAACATCTCACCTCTCACCTGTACCAAGAGCTACCACTCTAGCTACTTGCTGGGCACTTCACAGTGAAGGCCCCACAAAGGTAAGGTCTTTCATTTTATTATGTGTAGAAACAAGCCCATTACCTCCTGCCTGCATCTCTTCCTGAATGACCCTTCTGAGGGACCTGACAGAATCCTGCCAGCTTCGCTGCCTTGCCACCCCTTGCTCCCATTTAACCTTCCATTTCTCCCTCTGCCCTTTTCCAGGGTTCTCATCATCTTCTTTAGAAGAGTGGAACTACCTCCAATGTCCCTGGAGAAGGACCTTATGCTTGGCAGAGTAGAGGGGCAGCGGAAACCAGGAAGGCCCTCATCCAGATGGACTGACATGGTGGCTGGAACAATGAGCTCCAACACAAGAACAACTGTGAGGATGGCACCAGACCAGGCTGTTTATCGTCCTAGTGCACGTTCATGTTGCTGCATGTAGGAACCGACTCCATCGCACCTACCCCTGAACTGGCCGTCTAGCTTCCTAGAGCTGGTTTCGTGTCACTCCCCAGCCTAAAACTCGACCACTGTTTTACCCCTTTGGAAGAGCAGCCCAGGCCTTTCACAGCAGGGACTCAGCTCCGTCCACAGTGACTCTCTACTTCCGAACCTCCGGCCCAGTGCCCATTGGGAGGTTTCCTGTGTCTGTGACGTGCCTCCTTTAGCCAAGTCTTATTCTCCTTTGAGACCCGTGTCAAAGGCTACCTGCTCTCGGCAGGCAGTGCAAAGGTCTCTCCCAGGAACCTACCAGTGTGACTGGCTTTAAGGGATGTTCCCACTAGAGATAGCTGGATGGGAGCTGGGAGTAAAAGGCAGCCCAGCAGACAAGAGTAGCTACGGAAGAAGTAGAGGGAGGACCCGAGAGGTGGGAGTGCAGGCTGGACGTCCTTCCCGCTCACGGTCTTTCTTTGGAGCAGAGGTTGCCCGGCCACCTCTTCTCAGAGCCCTGCATCCAAACTGCACTCTGGATAGCCCCCACTCAGAACCCTCCCCACTTCCAAGTCTTACCCACACCACCTCGGAAGGCAAAACTTTGCATGGTTGTCTCTCCTCTCTCACCCTGAAAACCTTCCTCACCACCGCACAAGAAACCCAGCCAGAAGCCAACCCTGTTGCTCCTTCATCTGAAGTGTACATCAAACCCAGCCCTGCTTCTCCAGTCTCCGTGGCTCCATTCCTGTCCAGGCCATCATCTCCTGCCGAGAATGATCTCTGAACTGTTCTGTTCTCATCTACCGGGCACTCCATAGTCCACCTGCCACGTACCAGGCAGGTCAACCTTTTAAAAGGTAAACGAGTTCAGGTCACACCCTTGACCAAAATACTTTACTGATTTCCACTGCACAGAACCTAAATCCCTTACTCTGTTTCTTACGGTGCCCTACACAGAGTGGTCCCTGCCCGTCTACCTCTCCAGTCTTGTCTTAGGTCACTCTCTTCCTCTTCCTTGCTGACTCCATTCCAGCCAGGCTGGCCTTCTCTCAGCTGCTCAAATGTCCCAGGATGACCTTTTCCCGCCTCCTCACTGGCCGACTCTCTCTAAGCTGGTTCCTCTCATCCTTCAGGTCTGAGACATCACATGTTCTAATAAAGGCCTGCCCGGACTACCCAGGGAATGTCTTTATTTTTCTTTTTTCTTGCTTGGTGGCTTAGGATTGATTTGTAACACAGACTTGCTTGTTATGTCTACTGCTTATCTCCATCAGGTTCACAAATACAATCATTGGTATTTAGCGTCCAGTTTAGCACACAGTAGATACTTTTTATGGAATTTACTAATGAAGATAAGGCCCCACACACACATCCTCGTGGCTACTCTACTACGCAATACAAAAGAGCTTACCTTGTCCACGGTTTTCTTTTTTACAGGGGGATCAAACCTATCATTGGCCCCAAAATACTGAGTGAGCTCCTTCCACTGCTTTTCATTTGGGAACTGTTCACTGGAGGAAGAGAGATGATTCTTTTAGACAAAATGCACTCATTTTTATTTGACGGTTTTTAATGGACTACTAGGTCTTATGTTTAAACAGTTTTGTTGGTATATAGTCCATCTGTATCAATTCCACCCGACTGCCTGGTCTAGGTAAGTAATAAAAATGCAACTTACCTTTGAGAGGCTTCTTCATTCTTCAATTTACCTGAAAATAATTCACAAATTGTTAATACTCATGTATTCTATTACTTCAAAATTATGGGTTTGTTTTTCTTTTTGAAAAGTCACTGGCCTCAATTTTGGCTAATATTAATGCCGGTGTGACTGACAACTAAATTAAAATTGTCACCTTTCCTGGGGCGTCTTCCTCTTTTCCTCCGGAATCTTGAGGTTGCGGTTTTCTGTTCTGTATGCTTTTTCTGCAATTCTTGAAATTTCTGCATAAAAGTGGGAGAGGAATTGAGCTGCATATACATTTTGAAGCAAGGCATGCATTCAGGAAAAAGGAAAAGCTTGTGAAATATAAATATCCTCATGTCCATTAAGGTCACACTTCAAAGAAAGTCATTCTGTTCCTGAGGAACTCAACTCTCTGCGACCCTCACCACCTGTGGTTTTATCTTCTCTCGTTTCACAGTCAGTCAGGTGATCGTCTGAGAATAAAATCCAATAACTCATATGAATAAACAGGTAACAGCAAGTAGAAAGGCCTCCGATCTCTTGACAGGCACCGGAGTGAGTCCCGCTGTGCCTTCCTCATTCCTTTCATTAGCGAAATAACACCGAGAGCAATCACGGAAATGCCCACCGGTTTGACAACAGATGCCCCGAACAGTGGACGTGTTCTAAGGGCATCTTCTCCACCTCCTCTCCCAAGAACCCAGACATTCTGACCATGGCAGACATACTCAAAAGCACATCAGAGAAGACCTACATTCCACATATTTAAGGAAATCCCGGAAGGACACTCTTCGCGTGCACTGATGTTTGCCTCTGCTTCTGTCGTTGGCCCATCTGCCGGTGAGTCTGAGGCTGTGCAAGGGTTTCGAGTCATCTGCTCCTCATTCGCTTCCTGTCCGTGAAGTCCGGACGGTTCTGAGGTGGCTTCGTCTTCAGAATTCGAGTCGACATCACTTTCGTGTAGGCCAGGTGGTAGTAACCCACTCCACATCTTGTCTTCGAGAAGACAAAACAGAAACGTAAACATATAAAGTAACCACA